TTTTTTAGTCAAGTCCAACCGGTTAACACAACTTTGTTAAATTGAAAAACCATGCGAATAAGCCCTTCAAATAATTTTCACTCGCAAATAAGCATTTAATAATTTTCACGTCGCTAGAACATGGAAGACAAATGAAAATCATGATTAGAAAAAGACGAGATTTATTCGACAAAGTCTGCTTACAAATATTTAACTCCTTCTGAGCCACAAAGGGAGGAAGGAATATTCAAAAGGTGTTTGAATGTCTTGATATCTAAGAAAGTATGTGCCCTTATATAGAAATTTCTACTGAATAGAGTGCTAACAAAGTATCAGTTGATTATTGGAGGAATTATTAATGTTGAAGACAGTGGTCTATGTGAGTTGTGTGGAGAACATAAGGAAAATGTCGATCACTTATTATTAACTTGTCCTATAACCTTAAAGCTATGTGTAATTGCACCAAACCAGAGATCCTTCTTCAGTCCATCTCTTCACTCCAGATGAACCTGCAAAGCCCCGAGGTGGGTCCTCGAGGTAGACACTTTGATACTTAAGTCAGTAATAATTGGATCTACCTCTAGAATAATGGAAAAAAAAAGCTTTAGGTTGGTTTCAATTACCTTTTTGAGGTAGCCCCTGAGGGGTATTTATAGGTTTTAGTGAGGTGTCCACGTGGCTTGCTTAACAGGATGATCGGAGTGTGACATGTCCCTTTAGGCAGTAATTTAGGGACCGGGAAATTGTGTGTGACAAAACAGGTGTGGGCATGTCCACTGTATTTATCATGCAGCCATTTGACCGAGAAGTACTGGATTTAACTTCACTTCTGTTATTAACGAATTGTAGCAGTGCGTTTGAGGTTAAGGACCTTCGGACCTATCCTTACACTATTCCCCCCTCGAAGTCACTCACTTGTGAATGATGTTGTTAGAGGTGATGGGAGTAGTGTATAGTTAGGTGAAAAGAGGAATGAAAGAATATTAGAGATGAGTTATTGGAGTTATAATTAAAATAAAAATTGGTAACTCAAATTCATGTATGGCTGTAACTAATGGTAGAATATGTGACACGGGGTCATTGTGGTCGTATTCAAAATGAAATGTGATGCGAGATTACAATGGCTAGAGTAATGGCTGAAGTCATTGTGATCGAGGTTGTAGTAAAAAGTAATGACCGTGGTTATTGTGGCTGGAGCCGTAGTAAAAAGTAACGACTGGAGTCATTGTGGTCTGAGCCGTTGTAGAAAGTAACGACCGGAGTCATTGTGGCTGGAGCCATAGTAGAAAGTAATGACCAGAGTCATTGTAACCGGAGCTATAGTAGAAAGTAATGACCGGAGTCATTGTGGTCAGAGTCATAGTAAAATATGTAATACAGGGTCACTATGGCAGGAGCGAAGTAAAATATGTGACACGGGGTTACGATGGCTGGAGCCGAGGTGAAACACTTGTAAAATTGAAAAATATTATTGTAAAAGTGAACAGAAGTGTTGAGTTGGGCTTAATTGGGCCCGTTTAAAAAGTCTGATGTAGAGTTAGTACGTGACGTGACAGTTGTCTGTTAAAAGACGTGTACAATAAATACAGGCTGAGAAAAGTAACTGCTACAATTAAACAAGCGGAATGGAAAACGAACCGTCGAATTCAAGAGGTTCCCATTAGGGTTTAATCGTTGAATTCGAAATGGTGTGAACGTGACCGTCAGATTAAATTAATCACAACCGTTGAGATATATATTTGCTTTGTGGTATATATAGCCACATTTCTGTAAAAAGAGTTTTACTCTTGTTGTATTTTCTACCAAATTGCTGCCAAAATTCTACTGTGTTCTTCTTGCGTCTGGACTGTTGCATTCTTTGTGGACTTCTACATCAATCTTTCAAGACCGAGATCAGGTAACGTATGAGTTTTGGTGATTTAGATTTTAGAACATGTTTTCTTCTACTATCATCCTTTTTGATTTAGATCTAAGTCTTTTGGAGGAAGTTAGGTTTAGGAGTGAGAGTAACGGTGAGCGTGAGTTTTTGAAGATCCTGACTTCATTTCCCCCCCTCTCTACTCCATGCAGTGAAAGTTACGAAATTTGAAGAGATGTCTTTTGAAGAAACGATGAGCGTTGGGGGAAGTGATGAAGTGAGGGCGTTGGAGTATGGTGACGTGAGTATGACCAATGAGTCATCTGACTCAGAAAGGACAAAGGAGGGGGTAGGAAGAAGTGAGATGACTAAGGTTGAGGGAGATAGGGTTCCTATAACCGTAGTAGAAGTGGAGGGTAGGAATGAAAGATGTTATGATGTTGACGCAGATATTGTGTTTGAGGTAAGCCAATATGAGTTTGAATTCGGAACAAGGGATAGCCTAGGTTATTTAATTGAAAGTTATGAAATTTCTTCCCGAATTCTGATTAGGCCTGCTAGGGTAGAGAAGAGGGCATGTTCTGCACCTTGGGATCATTGGATGCCCATGTATGCTCATTATTTGGCAACTGAACTTAGGTTTCCAATTCCTGAGCTGCTAGTGGGGTTATTATTAGATTATAGCATAGGGTTGACACAATTAGCCCCCAATACTATGAGGGTAATAATAGGGTTTTTAGTTTATTGCCAAGCTAAGGGGGTTAATGTGCCAACTATAAATATGTTTAAATATTATTTTGTTCTGAAGGGGGGTAGTAGAAAGGACAAGGGGTGGTATTATTTCACCCCTAAAGTGTCGAATAAGGAGAGTAGGAGTTTATTTACAACGAGTCCTTCATCCATTAAAGGATGGAAAGAGAAATTTTTCTTTGTGGATGACACTGAGTGGGAGAGGGGGGATGCGGAGGTAGAGCTATTGTCATCTTGGAAGGCTAAGAAAGCCAACCAAAATAAATATAGTTTAAATAAGGATGAGGAGGAAGAGGTGGGGAAGTTGGTGAGGGAGAGGGGTAATTTAGTAAATATAATGTACCTCACCAGCGCGAATTGTATAAAGGCTACTGAGCTCTATGGGCCAAGTGCTTTGAGTGAAGGTGTGTTTATAGTTTGCATTGTAGTGCTTCGTGTGGAATGTAGAGTTATGTTGTTGACACTTTTTTGTTTTTGTTGTTTTGCAACTAAGATGGATAAGTTTTTGGGTGCTGCTGGAGAGGTGGCCATTCCAAAGAAGCCGAGGAAGAAGTAAAAAACTTCAACTAAGGAGGCGAGTGGGGCGGGAGTAGGGAAGGAGTTAGTGCCTAGCACCTCAACTAGAGTTCAGGAGGTGGGGCCTAGGCCGGAGCTGAAGAGGAAAGGTAGTGAGGAGTCGGGAGCACTACAGAAAAAGAAGAAAGTGGTGGAGCAGGAGGTTGGGGGGAACGAGATTCTACAGTTCATACTTCGGCCTCCTCCTGTTGAGCTCGATCCTGAGCTCAAGGAGTCTGAGGTTGAGGGGGCTAAGGTAAGGGACCCTGGTAAAGGGAAAGGCCTCGTTCCCCCTTTGTCCTTTCAAAGCAGCCTCTTTGATGCGAAAAACGCAACAAGGGCAAGAAGGTTTATTAATGCAACCTTCCCCGAAGTGGACAAGCATCAAGCTAGGGAAGAGGTGCTGAGGTACGCTGGGGCGACTGTGGCGAAGCACACTCTGGAGGTATGTTAAGTTGGTTTATGTGTAATTGTTGTTGTTGTTGTTGTTTTTTTTTTTTTTCAACTCCGGTGGAAATGCAAAAGGCAAACCGGGGGAAAGCCCAAACCCAAAAAGTTGGGGAAAAGGAAGAAGCATACTACCCTCCAAAAAAAGCAGGAGGAACAGCAGAAAAAAAAGAACGACCAGGAAAAGAAGAAGAAGAACAACAAGCAGGAGGTGCAGGAGGAGGTACCAACAGTAAAGAAGCAGAAGCAGGAAAAGAAGGATCCGAGGACTAAGAACCTCATGGAAGAAAAAAAAAAAAAAAACACCGAAAAAAAGCACCACGAGCAACAAAAAAAAAAAAAAAAGAAGAAAAAAACCGGGGGTGAAGTGAAAAAAAAAGGTCAACCACCGGGAAAAAAAGGGAAGGAAGAACAAAATAACAAACTTGGCAAACCCAACCCCGTTGAAAAAAATGGCAAACCCCAACCAGTGCCCAACAACAACCCCCCCCTCAACGAATGCAAAAAAAAGGTGAAAGCTGAGTATCCCGAAGTGGATATAACCAAGATCACCTTCGGCGAACAAGAGGAAGGGGTGGAGAAGAACAATGAAAGTATGTCAGCGGACTTCCGCCCCTCAAATTAAACTGAGGTGGGATCACAATGAAGAAGGACACACCATTTTTCCTCCGAACTTTGACTTCGAGTTCGTAGTAGTGGAGGAAGAGGAAGCAGAGGTAGAAAGTGCTGAAGTTGAGGAGAGCCAACCACCTCTGCAAGTGGAGGTCCATCCAGTTCCCTCTAATGATGAACAACCACCTCTTCCAGCAGATCAGGAGCCACCTCAGCCACCTCCTCCAGCGAAATAGTTAGGGATTTTAATTTTTTGATTTATGTAGTTTTAATGTGAACAATGATTAATTTAAACATTTTTGTACATTTGTTGATTAATCTAAAGAAAATTTTTGAAATTGGTTTTAATAGTTAGTTTGGGCTTTAATTGTTTTGTATTAACATGAGAACTGAGATAAAATAAATCACTTCGGATGTGAACTGAGATGAAGTAAATTACTTCGAATGTAAAGTGAAATTCATTAATAAAAGTGAAGTTGAAAGAATAAATTCCAAACAGATTGACCTCGGGGATATAGACTAAAAGATGAAATGAATCTCAGAAATGAAGAAGTAATAACTATAAAGAAGAATAAGACAAAGATCACTTGAAAGAAGTGTATTAAGGGTAAAATTTCATCAAGTTATTGATATTCCAAACTCTAGGAATTCTCTTCCCTTCAGCATCTTGGAGGATATAGGCGCTAGAATGTGGCACTTCGGCCACTATGTAAGGGCCTTCCCAATTTGGAGCTAATTTACCAAAACGAGTTTCAAACCCTGTTAGGCCAGCTTTTCTAAGAACAAGGTCTCCTACTTTGAATGTTCGAGGACGAACTCATTTGTTGTAGAAGTTGGCTAATTTCTGCTTGTATACTAGAGTTTGAAGTCGTGTTTCTTCTCTGACTTCAGCAAGCAGATCAAGGTTTTTTCCAAGCAGTTGTCCATTTCGTCCTTCATCGAAATGGGTTACCCTGAAGCTTGGGACTCCTATTTCAATAGGAATGACTGTTTTGGTACCAAAGGCCAGGTGGTAGGGTGTTTCACCTATTTCATTAAGTTATTGTTTTTAGAGTATGCTTTATACATTGTGCATATTTGATCTAAGGTAAAGCCGTAGATGAGAGAATAAAATAAAATGAAAGTAACTTGAGTTGGAAATAGTATCTGTGGCAGTTCGGCTCGTAGTTCTATATGCCTAGAGGACATTGTTGAGCTCGTCTGCCCACCTTACCTTGTGCTGCTCCAACCTTGGCTTTATTCCTTCTAGGATAGCTTTATTAATAAATTCTACCATACCGTTGGACTCTGGATGATAAACTGAGGTAAACTATAGTTTGATCCCGTAACTGAAGCAGAAATCTCTGAATGAAGAGCAGTTAAACTGAGTACCATTATCAGCTACGATCTAATTCGGAATTCCATATCTGCAGATGATTGAGCTGAAAACAAAGTCTTTGACCCTTCTGGAAGTAAGACTGGATAATGGCTGAGCTTCAACACATTTTGTAAAATAATCAACACCAACGATCAAATGGGTTACACCTCCAACCCCTTTCATGAATAGACCCAAAAGATCAAGTCCCCACTGAGCAAATGGGCAAGGTGCTACCAAGTTGGTGAGCTCTTCTGTCGGTTGGTGAGTTAAATGTGCGAAGAATTGGTACTTTGGGCATCTCTGTACAAAGTGAATAGCATCCTTATACATATTTGGCAAGTAATATCCTTGTTTGAGGACTTTATGGGCTAGGGTTCGAGCATCGATGTGGCTTCCACATACACCTTCATGTACCTCCTAAAGTGCGTACTCAGCTTCATAAGGATTTAAGCATCGTAGGAGAGGGAGTGAGAAAGATCTCTTATAGAGGACCCCATCAACGAGTGTATATCGAGACGCTTTCTTCCTCAACCTCATGTCTTCTTGCTTATCTTTAGGCACTAACCTGTCTTGTAGAAAAGAGACAATTGGATCTGTCCAGTTCAGTGTATTTAGGTCTGTGCTGATCTCCATCATTCTTGGCTTCATGAAGCTCGGTTCATTTAAAACGTCAACAAAAATTGATCTGGAGCTTAAGGAACTATTAGAGGTGAACTTAGAAAGTGAATTTGCTTGTTTATTCTCAGTTTGGGGAATTTTGCACAAACAAAATTTCTGGAATTTGCATTTCAACTCGGCCACCAAGGCTACATACTTCATCATAACAGAATTAACAATCTCGCAGACTGAGTTGATTTGATTAACCACAAGCTGCGAGGCACTATATACTTGTATCGCCATGACTTTCAGCTCCACTGTTAGTTGCAAGCCAAGTAATAGAGCTTCATACTTAGCCATGTTGTTTGTTGCATCGAAGTTAAATTTCAAAGCATGCTCACTTTGATATCTATCTGGACCAACTAAGAGAGCACCAGCTCTTAAGCCCTTGCTATTAGATGCTCCATCAACATATAAGGTCTAGTTGCTCAACTCAAGATTAGAGCTTGGGTGACATGGGCTACATTTTATGATAAAATCTGTCAGTGCTTGAGTTCAGATTGCAGACCTCTATTGAAATGTTATCTTGAATACCCACAATTCTACTGCCCATTTAACTAACCTTCCTAAGCACTCCGGCTTCTAAAAGATCTATTGAAGAGGTTGGTTTGTGAGGACTATGATTGGGTATGATTGGAAATATGGCCTCAACTTTCTAGCCGAAGTGACAATTGCTAATTCTGTTTTCTTAGCAATAGGGTATCTCAGGTCAGGTCCGTGTAGTACACTACTGGTATAATAAACTGATTTTTACTGTTTACCTTCTTCTCTCACTAGGATAGAACTAATTGCTTCATCTGAAATACCGAGGTACAGATAAAGGATTTCTCCATCAATAGCCTTTTTTAGCAAAGGGGGCGAGCTAAGATAAGACTTAAGCTCATTGAATGCAACTTGGCATTTTGTGTTCCATTCAAACTTCTTCTGTTTTCCAAATTCATCCTTCTGTGCTGCTGATCTCATGATCTTGAAGAATGGCAAGCACTTATTTGCTGTCTTCGATATGAACCGATGAAGAGCTGCCACCCTCCCAGTTAATTTATGTATATCTTTCACTGACTTTGGTGGTTCCATCTTGGCTATTACTTTAATCCTTTCTGGGTTAGCCTCAATCCCCCTCCGAGAAACCATGAAACCAAGAAATTTCCTAGATTCTACGCCAAAAATGCACTTTGTTGGATTTAACCGCATTCTATTCTTTCTAAGATTATTGAATGTTTCATCGAGGTCAACCAGATGATCCTCTACCTTTGGGCTTTTCACCACAATGTCATCGACATAAACTTTTAGATTCCTACCGATCTGAGCTCGAAAGACGATGGTCACCATTTTTTGGTAAGTGGCACCTGCATTCTTTAAGCCAAAAGGCATCATTACATGGCAGTAAATTTCATCACCTGCATAGAATGAGGTTTTCTCTTCATCCTTCGGAGCCATCGGCACTTGGTGGTAACCAGAATATGCATGCAAGAGACTTAATCTCTCATTTCCAAAAGCCGCTTCAACCAGTTTGTCAATGCTTGGCATCGGATAACAGTATTTGGGACGAGCTTGGTTGAGATTTGTGTAATCGATGCACATTCGCCATTTACCATTTACCTTCTTGACCAACACTGGGTTAGCCACCCATTCACAGTAATCAACTCTTTTGACAAAACTAACTTGCAGGAGTTTTTCTACTTCTTCTTTTATAACCTGAAGCCTCTCCCCCCCCAAAGAGGCGTCGCTTCTGGGCTACTGGTTTCTTTAATGGATTGGTGCTGAGCTTGTGCTGAGATACCAAGGTTGGAATTCCTAGCATGTCTATTGAGATCCAAGCAAATACATCTTTGTTAGCTCGGAGGAAAGCTATTAGCTCTACTATTTCTTTTGGGTTTAATCGAGTTCCAATTTGTGTCTTCCTATTTTGATCTTTGTCATCAATTTGCACTTCTTCTACATCCTCAACTAGGGTAGCTCTAGTTTCATCCTTTGGTCGGTTGTCTACTATCTCAACTCCCATTACCTGTTGATTATCATGAACTTGTTGGGGAATGGTTTCTGGTGTCTAATCTTTGCCTTTCTGAAGCCTTGCAACCGAGGTAATATAGCAATGTCTAGCCACCTCCTGGTTACCTCGTAGTGTTGCTATCCCCATAGGGGTTGGAACTTCATGCAAAAGTGAGATTGAGAGACCACAGCTTGGATCTTGGTTAATGTGGGTCGTCCGATAACAGCATTGAAAAAGGATGTCATTTTGACAATTAGAAATCGAATTGAAAGGGTAACATAAGTTCGGTCGCTCCCAAAAGCAATGTTGAGAGTAAGGACTCCTTCTACCTGAACAGGTTGGTTATTGAAGCCATATATGGGACCATCGTACCTCTGCAACAAAGCTGGATCCAGTTTGAGACTCTCAAAACAGTGAAAATACATAATGTTTGGTGCATTCCCTATGTCAACAAGGACACGTTGTACCTCACAATTGTCAATCATAATAGAAGTGACCAAAGGATCATTATGGGGCGTTACAATTGTGTCAAAGTCAATAGGTGTGAAAGTGATAGGTTGATTCTTTCAGTCAGCGTTGTCAAACTTTCGTTTTTGGGCTCGGTTTTGATGCTTCACCTCCCTAACATACAATTTTCTTTGCTTGGAGCTCAAACCCCCTACTTCTAATCCTTCGGTAATCATATGTATAATTCTGGCCAGTGGCGGAAGTGGTGGTGGGGCTTGTTGATATCCCACTCCTTGCCTATTTCCTGCATTATGAGATCTCTGTAGTTGTGGCCCCTGCCCTCTTATAAACTTCGGTTGCTCTGTTCTCTGGATGTATTCATTGAGCATTCCTTTCTGAGCTAGACTTTCTAATTCGGACCTCAAACTATTACACTCCTCTGTTGTATGAGCGTGATCTTGATGAAAATCACAGTATCTAGTATGATCACGTGTAGCAGCAGAACTTCTCATCGGCCTTGGTCGCCTCAAATCCATCTTATTCTTGATCTGCATGAATATCTGCGACCTCGACAAATTGAAAGGAGTCCATGTTCTTGGTGCTTTATTGGTAATCTGTTGGGGAGGTACCGAGTTCGGCTTTCTGAATCTCGATGTGGAGGTCGACATCGGACCTCGATTCTGTACTGTCTTTATTTGCTTTCTACTTTGACCCTCATCTCTCCAATCTAGGTTTTGAATTTTAGAGAGAATTGGCTTTTGTGATAAGGCATATTCCTCAACAGTTATGAATTTCAAAGATCTGTTATTAATCTCATTAAAGGTGGCAGCAGGATACTTAATTAAGCTATCTCTAAATCTTTCGTGCTGGAGACCTTGAATTACAGCTGTAATTCCCACGGCTTGGTTGAATGAGTTGATTTCGAGGACTGTGTCATTGAACTGGCTCATGTAATTTTTCAGAGATTCTCCTTCCCTTTGTTTGACTCGCATCAATTTAGAAGTGATTTTTCTAATCAACCTTCTATTGGAAAACTTTGTAGCAAAAGCAGATGCTATTTCTGTATAAAAGCTAATAGATTTCAGAGGCAAACTATAATACCAGGTTCGAGCATTAACACGGAGAATGGAGGGAGAGATTTTGCACATCAATGCATCAGAAGCGTTCTGAGCCTGCATATAGGAGTAGAAGGCGTGGAAGTGATCATCCGAATCCTTCGTTCCATCATATGTCTCGAGCTGAAGTATTTTGAAACCAACGGGATAAGGTTCCAATGTAATATTAGTATTCAGAGGATGAGGTATGGAATCAGTGTTACGCTGTGAAGGTGGGGCACCTCGTTGCTCGGCTACCAGTTTTTCTAAGCTGACCAGACATCATGTGACATCATTAGTTAGAGGTTCTTGAACTGGGGCTACATGAGACTTGCCCTGAGACTCACTAAGAGCAGGAGCATGTTGAATTGGTTGAGGGTCTTGCTGTTGAATAGGGGGTTGTTGAGTAGGGTTGAGTAAATTGATGAGGGGATCACTAGGATTATTTCAAGCTAAGAGTTGAGCCAAAACTAACTGGAAAACACTGAATTGCTGTTGCATAGCAGCAAGCTGAGCTATGACTACATCTCCTTGATTATGAGTGGAAGCTGAATTGTGGGCTGAGTTGTGAGGTTGATTTTCATCTCCTCCTTCTGCATGTTTAATAGGAGGGAATAGATTTGGGATTTGAGGTGGGAGGTGAGGTGGAAGGTTATTGGGGTATTGACCTTGACCTTGTCCAAGAGGTTGAGCCTGATTTCCAGCTCGGACAGATCGAGTGTTAACCATGATGAGAAAGAAAAAAAGGAGCTTTTAGTTTAGATTCCCACAGACAGCGCCAATGTAATTACACCAAACCAGAGATCCTTCTTCAGTCCACCTCTTCACTCCGAATGAACCTGCAAAGACTCGAGGTGGGTCCTCGGGGTAGACACTCCGATGCTTAAGTCAGCAATAATTGGATCTACTTCTAAAATAATGGAAAAAGGAGCTTTAGATTGATTTCAATTACCTTTTTGAGATGGCCCTTGTGGGATATTTATAGGTCTTAGTGAGGTGTCCACGTGGCTTGCTTAACAGAATAATCGAAGCGTGACGTGTCCCTTCAAGCGTTAATTTTGAGACCGGCAAATTGTGTGTGACAAATCAGATATAGGCATGTCTACTATATTTATCATGCAACCATTTGACCAGAAAGTGTTGGATTTAACTTCACTCCAACTATTAAAAAATTGTAGCAGTACATCTGAGGTTCAGTACCTTCGAACCTATCCTTACACTATGGTTAAAGTGCTTTAACTTGTGGGAATGTAACATGTGCGTTAACACTCGGAATGCGCTAAACTTTCACGCAACACTATTGGCCTACAGAAAAAAGGTCAGCTAATGTGACAACACTTATGTGCGATAAAATTTTTAACTTATTAATAATTTTATTATAATTAAAAAAATAATCTTCACCGGTATGTGGATTTTTTTATGGTTAAATACCCTTTTTGGTCCCTCTACTATAGGAAAAAGCCCTTTTTTGGTCCCTATATCGAAAAAATCCCCTTTTTGGTCCTTACTGTTTACAAATCCAGCCCCTTTTTAGTCCCTCCGTTAAATTTTGGCTGATGTGGTAGGTTAATTAACGGAAAACTCATTTTGTTTTTTTTTTATTAAATTACGTGGAAAATCCACGTGAGAAAAATTGATGACATGCTAAATTTTTTACTTTTAATTA